AGAATCTCTCACTATTGCAACTCGAGGCTTAAATTTTTTCTTCAGTTCTTTCAGTTTGAGAAATGCTGAGCGTGTTCTTCCCTTTTGGGAAGTAGAAATACATAGGCAAGAAGGAGGACACAGGGAAATGGTAACCACAGGGAGGAAGTGGGAGAGCCAGGAAGGTAATCAGTGTCACAAAATAAAATGTGTATGAACTGTTGAATGTAAAATGTAAAATTTCACCCAAATCATAATAAAAAGTTAAAAAAAAATCTAAGAAAAATAGTTAATATATTTTTTATTTTATGTCTTCATGCTAAAAGCTTTGTTTACCAGTGAGCAATGGTTAAATTAGGACATCGGTCTAGATATTCTAATACATTTCAGTAGCAAATTCTTTCTGTAAAGATTGTAATTTAATGGATTAAATACTGTTATATGGAAGAATGTTTGAAATACTTAAGTATACAAGGTGTTTATGTATTTCAGGGCTTTAGATACAACATTTGTATAAAAGTGATTGTTACTACAAATTATTTTTACAAATGTAAGATTCTCCTCATACTTTCTCCAGAAAGACAAAGTGAAATGCTATAATAGCAAGCAAACAGTGAGTTAGTACTTTGTAGTCCTAGTTGAATCAATATATATTCTTTCATAGATATTAAATGGTTGTTAAAATTACCTTAAGACTGTTGTTGTTATTTGCTGTTGAGTCAGACCTGACTCATAGTGGCCACTTCTTGGGTTTCTGAGGTGGTATCACTATGGAAGTAGATTGCCCAACCTTCCTTCTGAGGAGTGGCTGGTGGGTTTGAACCACAGCCTTCTGGTTAGCAGTCAGGTGCCTTAGGCACTGCAGTACCAGACTAGATCATACTTTTGATTGATTATTCAGACTTTCACAATTAGTTTAAATTAGTGATATTTGACTATATTTTGAGTTATTACTAATACTCTGTAATGTTCAGTACTTCCCGATTGAAAAAAATTATTTTTCAGAAGACATATAGCTGACTTCAATTGAATTTATTCATATTAGTATCGAGAAATTTGTTCCTGTATTTAGTATTTGAATTGAGTTTTATTAGTATATTAGAATTTGTGAATGAGACTAAAAGGGATTCTGGAATGTGACAGGCAGTGGTTGATTAATGGTCCTGTTATGTCTCCATTGTAACCTGACCTGACAAGGTTTTATATTCATTATTTTCATTCTTTAGGCATCAGTGGATGGACCAGAACGTTGCCATGACAGTTGGTTTCCTGGAAGTAACTTAGTATCCAACATGCGACACTTTATAAACTATGTTAGAGTCAGAGTTCCAGAGACAGCTCCTGAAGTAAAGAGAGACTCCCCTGCAAGTACTAGTTCTGATAGCTTGGGTTCTTTACAAGTAAGTGTATAAAAGAGAAAAAGGAAAACAATAAAAGGACATGTTCTGTGCTATGTTGGGATATATTGTTTATATTATCCTGTGATACCTGGAAAAAAAAAGTTGTAGTTATCTTCAGTTGTCTTTTATATCCTCTGATATATCTAAGCAACTTCTGCCTCACCAGTCTTTTTCCTTTAATCTGCCAGAGTTCAAGACGGCCTAAAGTCCTTCAAAGAGAGGTAGATGTGTATGATGTTTGCGTTAACTAGCAACATGGCTTTGACTGGAAATGGGGAAAAACATTTTGAAGTATTTGTGTGTATGTATGTGTGTATTTAATTAATATGGTTAAGTTTCAAAAGAATGTTTCTTTAATACGTGTGTGTAAGTTTTTTTATAAAATGATTTTAGTGAAATTTTCAAGATTTCATATTATTGAGCTTAAAATAATATTGTAAATTTTTAATAGATTTTTCCTATTAGTCCATATTTGGGTCTGTTTATAATTTTTTTAATTTGGGTTTGTCATTGCAACTATATTACTAACATTTTAAAATGACTGTTTTCTCAATCAGAAGATATTTGATCATTATTTGATAGCAGCATGCCCATTTACAAATATTAATTTTTTTCTTCTATGGTGATTAATAACAGAAGTATTAAACTGTATATAGTGTATATTTGAATTCATTTTGAAAACCAGCTTTCTCATTGCATGTAGCTTAATTAATTGATTTCTAAAGCAGAAATGAAAAATCTTGAAATGACATGCCAGATAACTAAATTTAAGCACTTACAGTAGCAACAACCTAGATTTCTGTGAGCTGAGAGCATTGAAGAGACTTTTTTTAATAGTGAATCTATTCACAGGTTCGTTCTTTGCCTTTGATAGCATGTTTTGCTGTGAGTGCCATAACACGTTTTGATTACAATACTGAAACCTTTGTAAGGGGCAGTTTTTGCCTCTAATGCCACTAAAGAATACTTTGAAAAATAATTTGAATGTTAAAAATTATGATTTGGCTCATGAAAGCTCAGTTGATATTGGAATATTCTTTCTATGCCAGTTTAAAAAAAAGTAATAAACTCCATTAAACTGACTCATATCTAAATTAAAGTATGATTTCCAGAACCCTAGCTCTGGTAGCACAGTGCCTAAGGCACTTGACTGCTAACCAGAAGGCTGGCGATTCAAACCCACCAGCCACTCCTCAGAAGGAAGATGAGGCAATCTACTTCCGTAGTGGTACTGCCTTGGAAACCCAAGGATGGGTAGCTATGAGTCAGGTCTGACTCGACAGCACATAACAACAACAACAACAATGCAGTGCAATTGCTTTAACAAAAAAGCTATTTAGAAGATAAATTATTGAGGAAAAGAGTTTAAAATATGTTCAAATAACAATAATGATATTCAAATTTGAAACATAATTTGATTTTTTATCTTTATATTTTCAATTTTGTAACTTTAAGCATTTATCTTAGAAGTAATTGTCAAACTTTTGAGGTTCTTTAAAAAAGAAATGAATGACAGGTTCAGATTCATTAACTTAAAATAATTAATTCATAATATTTTTAACTGGAGAATATAACAGCCCTGCAGAAATTAGTGAATATTGAATAGAACAACTTTTCTTTCTTTAAACTAGTAAGGAACTTAGTTTAGATACTTTTCTTTAATGTGGCTATAGATATTCTCAAGCTTCCTCTGTTTTCCTTGGTAGATAGATCTAGGAGGTTGAGAAAAAGGTGGTGTTGATGATATTCTTCTTTCTCCTCATTGCTGTTTCCAGATTGAATGAGACAAAGTATATTTGGGAAAGAGAGGTGAAGGGACAGATTTATTTTAAAGAACAAATCTATTGATAAAAATAAAATTTATATCCAATAGTATAAAATGTATATTTAAAAATGATTTTTTTAAAATTACGATTTGCTTATACATTGTCTCATTCTTGCAGTATGCATTAAAATCAATAAAACCTCCTTGGGAATTGAAGACAGTGTGACTAAAAATATGACCTTAAAAATATTAAATAAATCTTTGCATGAAACTATGACCACTCCTTTTGGAAAATGTGGTACTAATACGTTCTTAAAATTGATGTCGAGTAATTTCTCTTGCTTTTTTCTTTCTTTCTCTTTTTTAATGGTAGAATTCTGGTACAGCTCAAGTTTTCAGCTTAGTAGCAGAGCGTAGAAAGAAATTTCAGGAGATCATCAATCGCAGTAGCAGTGAAGCAAATCAGGTGGTTCGTCCCAAAAGTTCAAGTAAATGGTCTACTCCTGGTTCAGCTCCACAGTTAACTACAGCCATTTTGGAAATAAAAGAAAGCATATTGTCTTTGCTAATTAAACTTCACCACAAACTTTCAGGAAAACAAAACTCCTACTATCCTTCTTGGCTAGATGACATAGAAATTTTAATCCAACCAGAAATTCCTAAATATAGTCACGGAGATGGTATAACTGCAGTAGAAAGAATTTTACTAAAAGCTGCATTGCAAAGCAGAATGAACAAGCGCATCATTGAAGAGATATGTAGAAAAGTGACCCCTCCTGTGCCGCCCAAAAAAATCACTACAGCAGAGAAGAAAACATTGGACAAAGAAGAAAGGTAATTTTTGTTTTTAATGGTTTAAACATATATGGTACAGTTGAGGATTTGGTATTTTCTTTCGCTATTTTCAAAAAGTATTGATTCAACTTTAAATGAGAATTAAAAATATTAAATATTTAAACTATTTCCTAAAGTAAAAACACAACTGTTAACAGTTCTTTTTGGTTCTTTCTAATCTTTATCAATATATGATTACTAATTATTAAAAAAGCAATGTTTTAAAAGATATCTAATGAATGTATGCTTCTAGTTTCTGAACCTTTAGATTGCTTCTAATTTATTCATAACTTATAGTATTTATAAAAAAATCTAATTTTTCTCCCACCTTTTGACTGACTTTCTTGGGACAGAGCTTTTTATAAGTGAGATTTGTGAGTTAAATGCTATGAGCCATGGTATGGTTCTTTGCACACAATACTTTGCCAAAAGAATTGTGGTATTGTGTGTTATCATCAGCTGTTCCCTAACAGCCTACTCTATCATAAATATGACTAAGTGATTGAAACTCAACATAATTGTGAAGTTCCTGAAAAAGGTTCAGTGTTTTTGGGGTGTTTTGGTTTTCTAGTGCTGTTCTAACAGAAAATACCACAAATGGAGTGACTTTAACAAACATGGATTTATTCTTTTATAGTTTAGGAGACTCCAAATCTGAGTTCAAAGTGCCAGCTCTAGGGCCTGAGTGACAGCACCTTGACCTTGGGTTTCAGTGCTGCCTCTTGCTCCTGGCCCACTGAAGCTGGAGGTTTCTTTTAACTCAGGCAGCTGCTGGCTGCTGAGGCTGACAAACCCAAGATCCACAAATAAAATGGCACAGTCCCAAGATTATCAAACAACACAGCAGGCCACTAGTTCAAGTCCAGAGATAGTCCCAAGATTGGCAGACAACATGGCAATCCATTCACTGATGACTCAGCCAACTGTAGGATCCAAGTGTGCTAAAAACCTGCAGAGACCTTTCTCAGTGCTGCTGCTTATATATGGAGAGCAGACCACATCCCTAATCAACTGCTCCAGTAGATTCCCCCATGGAGTTATTACCAGTCTCTTCATGGGGCATAACTCCATCCAGCTGCCCAGCTACTCAAAACCAGGCCTAGCCAAGTTGACATACAACTTAACTACCACATGGGGGGTGGGGGAGTATACCTTCTGATGAATGTTCATGAGGTCAGAAGATCCAGTAACATTAAGGGGGGGAGGGAATTTCTTCAAAGGCAGCTTGAGATAATCATTGTGCAGTTCCCAGAGGTTATAAATAATATTCACTGGTTTTATTTCTCTGATTTTTAAAATGAATTTGTCCACTAAAGAAACAATTATGTGGTGAGCATACACATTTCCCTGACTGGAGAGTCCAAAGAGGTTGTTTCAGTATTATATTAAGAACCTTGGATAATCCCTTCACTCTCTCACATACAGGTAAAAAATCATTGTCAACGCATTGTTATCTGAATTGGTGTTGTGAGCTGTATGGGTAATTAATTCATCACTTAATAGCTTTGATGTGCATTTTAGAGATACTTTTTAGAATAATTTCATCTTCTTACTTTTAAAAATAAATAGAAGCAGTCTTATAGGTTAATTGAAGAGTGGAAAGCTAGCCTGAGGTGGACTTCACTCTATTAATCCCATTCCCCATTTATTAGGCACCAGTCAGGTACCTCTCTAGACATTGTTGGGCTTGCTGATCTCAAAGAATTGATAGTAAAGTGGGAGACAGACTAGTAAACAGACAGTTGTTAGTGTAATAAATACCATATTAGATGCATAGGGTGCTGTTGGGAGCAGCAAGAGATAAAGCTAAGAAGGCAACCAGGTATTACTAATTTAAGTGGCACATTATAATGAATGGCTGTTGGAAGCAGTTTAAAGATTTTAAATAGGAGAATAATATACAGATGAAATTATCTCTAAATAATATATATACAGATGAAAGTATCTCTAAATGCACATCTCTAAAATGCACATTAAGTGATGAATTAATGTATCAGTTTAGAGTGGATAAAACTGTAAATTGGAGGACTAGGCTATTTTGGAATCTAGGGCAGGGTGAGAGTCTGAACTAAAGCAGTGATAGTAAAGTGAGGAAGAAATGGATATGAGATATTTAACAGGTTCAAATATTAAGACTTGCTGAACAATTTGATGTGGAGGATCAGGAGGGAGAAGTCATGGATGGTTTCCAGATTTCTGACTTGTATGATGTTCCCCTGTTTACCAAGATAAGGGAGTACAAGAGGGGACTCAGGCTTAGATGTGAAATAGATATGTTCACTTTTGGCTACAGGAGATTTTAAGGAGGACATCCAAGTGAAGATGTTTGTTCAAATATAGGGATTTAAGACTTGAGAATTGTGATTTAGAGATACAGATTGTTGCTTATAAGTAATAGATAAAGCCTTGTGTATGGAGAGTGTGTATGGTAGGAAAACAAGAAAAGAAAATGGAATTTTGGGAAAAGTGTTGAAGGTATTGAGCTAAGGAAGGAGTACCTACAAAGGTGGCTAAGATGGCTAGAGTAGAGTAGGAAGAAAACGGGGTCATTACAGAAAGTATAAGAGAATGAAGTTCAGAAAAGGGAATATTTCAAGGTTGTTAAACATTGCAAAAACTCGTAAGATTGGCAGCTCATTTGATTTGATAGAAAGTTTAATTCTTTGGTAACTCTGTCAGGAACAATTTTGTGACTGTTAGGTGCCATTAAGTTGGTTCCTACTCGATAGTGACCTTATATACAACAGAACGAACCAATGCCTGTTCTTGTGGCAGCCGCACAATTGTTGCTGTGCCTGAGCCCATTGTTGGAGCCACATGTTGAGGGTCTTCCCCTTTTTCACTGACCCTCTATTTTACTAAGCATGATATCTTTCTCCAGGAACCAGTCCCTTTTGTTAACATGACCAAAGTCCGAGAGACAGAGTCTGGCCAATCTCGCTTCTCAGGAGCATTCTGGCTGTATCTCTTCCAAGACATGTTTGTTCATTCTTCTGGAGAAAAACAAAACCAAACTTATTGCCAACAAGTCAGATTCAACTCACGGTGACCCCTTCTTGGGTTTCCGAGGTGCTATCACTATAGAAGTATTTTATTTTCTCAATATATTTTGGATTTTGGACTAAGTTTCATAATACAGGCAGAACAATTAATAAACACTTGTTGTTGTTGTTGTTATGTGCCGTCGAGTCAGCCCCGACTCATAGCGACCCCTCCTTGGGTTTCCGAGGCAGTATCACTACGGAAGTAGGATTGCCC